AAATGTGTTAAGACTTGTTTTATAGCCTAACACATGGTTTGTCTTGGAGAATGTTTCATGTGCAATGAGAAGAATGAATGTATATTCTGCAGTTGTGGTAGAATGCTTTATAAATGCATGTTAGGTCCATTTGATCTAAAATAAAACATAAATCCAAAGTTTCCTTGTTGATATTTTTTGTATCATTGATCTCTCTAGTGCTGTAAGTTGGGTACTGAAGTTCCCCACTATTAACGAATCGCTGTATATTTTTTTCTTTAGGTCTAGGAATATATGTTTATGAATGTGGAAGCTTTGGTGTTGGATGCATATAAATTTAAAATTGTTATATCCTCTTACTGAATTCATTACTTGGTCATTATATTTTTATAATATGATGATCATATTTGTCTTTTTTTTACTGTTTTTGATTTAGAGACTGCTTTATCTGATATAGATATAGTGACTCTTGCTTTCTGTTTCTATTTGCACATTTTTTTCATCCTTTGCTTTAGGTCTAAAGGTATCTTTAGAGGTAAAGTGAGTTTCTTATACGCTTCATAGGATTGGATCATGGTTTTCTAAATCCATTTTGTTAAACTATGTCTTTTAAGTGGACCAGTTAATCCATTTATATTTAGGGTTAATAATGATATGTTACATTTAGTAACTGTCATTTCGTTAAAAAATAAAAATGTGTAAAAGTATTATCTAGCTGTTTTATAAATTATTTTTCTCTGTTAGTCTTTGAAGTTTGGTGATATTATATTGAACCAACATTTAATTTACTTCTCTTCATCATTTGTGTGATTGTTTTACAATACCTGTGAAGTTTGTTTTTCTGGTTGTTTCCATGATGGTGGATATTGACCTTTCATTTCCATGTTTAGGATTCCTTTGGGTATTTCTCATAAGTCAGTGCAGTGGTGATGAATTTCCTCAGCATTTGCTTCTCTGGAAATTATTTCTCCCTCATCTTTGAAGCTTAATCTAGCTGTATATAAAATTCTTGACTGCAGCTTTTTATAACATTTGATAATACTGACTCATTTTGTCCCAACTTTTAAGTTTTCTGCTAATATGTCTTCACTTAGTCTGATAGGGTTTCCTTATGGGTCCTCAGACACTTTTCTCTTGATAATTTTACAATTTTTTTCACATTTTTTAGACAATCTGATGAGAGTATGTTGTAGTGAATTCCTTTTTATAATATATTTTCCAAGACATTGCTGGGCCCCCTGAATGTGTACATTTCTTTGTATAATCTGAAAGCTTTCATCAGTTATTTCTTTAAATAGGTTTTCTATAATTTTAAAATTTTTATTCCTTTTTGGGAATACAAATAATTTGAAAATTGAGTAGATCTTAATCTCATGAGTCTTGAAAGCCTTTTTTTAATTTTTTTTGAGACGGAGTTTTCACTCTTGTTCCCAGGCTGGAGTGCAATGGCACGATCTCAGCTCACAGCAACCTCCACCTCCTGGGTTCAGGCAATTCTCCTGCCTCAGCCTCCTGAGTAGTTGGGATTACAGGCACGTGCCACCATGCCCAGCTAATTTTTTGTATTTTTAGTAGAGACGGGGTTTCACCATGTTGACCAGGATGGTCTCGATCTCTTGACCTCGTGATTCACCCGCCTCGGCCTCCCAAAGTGCTGGGATTACAGGCGTGAGCCACCGCGCCCAGCCCTTGAAGGCTTTTCTCATTCTCTTTAATTCTTTTTAAAAGTTTTTGTCTTAGTGGGCTATTTTAACACACCTGTCTTCAAGTTCTGAGATTCTTTATTTTGCTTGTTCTGGTATATTATTGAATTTTTGACATGATTTTTTAAAGGTATTTATATTATTGATAAGTTGATTATTTATATTCTGAATTGATTTTTTATTTCTTTGTATTGGTTTCTTTTTTTTTGCATTTCATTGAGATTTTTAAAGATCAATATTCTGACTTACTTATTTGGCATTTTGAGGATTTTTTTGTTAAAATCTATTGCTGGAGAATTATTGTGATCCTTTGAAAGTGTCACAATGCCTTGATTTTTTCATGGTTCTTGTATCTTTACATTGATCTCTGCATATCTGGCATATCAGTCTTTTTTATTATTTTTTAATTTACTTTCCTGAGGGAGCCTATTCTTGATGTGACTCTGGTGTATGTTGTGTAAAGCTGCTTGGCTGTGTGCAGTGGCAAAGATCGTATGATTTCTTTGGTTATAAATACCCTTAATGTGATCTTCCTCAAATTCCAGGTATACTAAATGGGTGAGTGCTCTCATGACTTCCTGTACTGAACAGCTGGGGTGGCATGGATCATGTAGGTAGCAGCGGTCATAAAAACATTTTCTCATTCCTGAGTGTTGTAGTCTTATGTCAGCTGTTATTGTAATGGCCTGTGCAAGTTCACCTCCATGCCAGTAGTTGGTGCTTGCAGGTTAGAGCCAACTAAAGTGGTGTCAGAAGTGTTTATGCCCAACCTCTTCATCTGGGAAAATTGCTCAAGTGTCCCAGGTGGTGATTAGACCATGGGATGTTCAGGGGCATGAGTCTCATGTTCTGCCTTGGGTTGGAGTTGAAACTAAGCAGAACCAGTCATAGGAAGTTTACAGTCAGGATCTACAATGGTGGATTAAAGCACCAGTCCTGTTGGGGGTGGCAAGATGGTACTCAGGCCTCTGGAAAAATGCATGGGTAAGGGGCAACTGTTTTTGCATCAAGGTCTCAGAACAGAGAGGGAGAGGTGGTCCCAGTGCCACATTTTTAGCCAGTGAAAGTGAAATGTGCTTCCCCCCACACCTCAGAACTGACATCATTCACTCTCCTGTACCAAATGTGGCAAACAGTTTGGATATTTGGCTAGTCACTGCAATTTTCTTCTAGTTTCCAACAAAACCCCTAGTATTAGAAGTCACTGACTTGGTCAATACCATGCCTCCCAGGGAATTCTCCTGCTCTGGTCCTGGAAGAGCTCAGTTCTGGTACCCACAGCTGGAGTCCACACTACACTCATATCTCTGTTCTGGTTGTGGGAGCTCCTCCCCATTTGAGGCCTAGTTGTCCATGCCTCAGTGCAAGTCTCTCTAATGACAAAGATTGCCACTGCTCTAAGCTCCCTTGACCCCACAGAGCTTGCTAAGAACTAAACTCTAGAATGTCATTTTTCTTTAGGTACCCCTGGGAAAGTGCATGGAACACTTTCCAACCTGTTCTTTCTTATAGTCTCCTGGCCATTCCCCAAGTTAGGTCTAGGGATTCAGAGAATTTAGGTGCTCTCCTGTGGCCTGTATTTCACCATTCCCCAGTGAAAAAGTGGACTTCAGAGAGGCACTCAGTCATGCTCTCCCATATTGGAGATTCATACCTATACCCAGTATTTAGCTGGTTCCAGCCAAGAGAGCTTCATGCCCTCCTTCTCATTCTTGGATTCAGAATTTTCTTTTGACTTTTCTGCTTAACTGCTTTGTTCCTTGTTATATAATTTTCAGAGAAGAACAACTATTTTTGTTCTTCTAAGTGGATGAGACATGTCGGAAAACTTCTAGTCAGTAATCTTGAGGAAAATAAAGTTTGTGTGTATTTCTTATACTCATCTTCTATATTGTATTTAAAATAGACTTTTTGAAATACTGTTTTTAGTGCCTAACTTTTAATTTAATTATTTTTCATTTTTATTTCTGTGTATTGGCAATATTTGGGTATTTTCCTTGTTTCTTTTTCATTTAAATAAATTGCATGCTAGCATCAAAATTTTACCACACATATTTGTGGTTCCAATTTGAGAAGTTTTATTTCATCCTATCATTGATTCATAGACAACACAAACAACTGCTGGGTTAGAAATAAATATTCATTTTGTTGTGTCATTTGTTCGTTTCATTTCAAAAACTGATCACTGTTATTATTTTAGTCAAACATTTTATTTAAACATTCCGAAATGTTAAATGAATTAGGTTTTGAGTATCCAACTATTCAGAACCAATCTTCTAATATTAGCATTTTACTATAATTGATTTATTTATCATATTTATGTATTTCTATCCCTATAAGTTTATTAATACACCTTTTTAATCTTTGCAAAATAATATTTAACATTAATAATTAAATATTTCCAACAGGCACAATAGTAAAGGGAATAACATAAATTCCTAAATGCATACCATCTATTAAATTCTAACATTTTTATACTTGTTTTAGCTTTTCTTTGAACAAATAATTCATTCCAAATAAAATTAAAATATTTTTGTGCTATAATGTGATCCTATTTCCCTCTCTTTCTTGTGTTTATCTTTCCATGTATGTTATTATTATCCTACTACATATTTTAGTATATATAAATAACATTTGAGTTGTTTTGCATGTTTTCAGTATTTACCAAAACAATTTCATTTCGTGTATTATCCTGGGGTGCTCTGCCCAATATTTTGTCTGTGAAAGTGATGCAAGTTGGCAGTGTTAGCCCAAGCCACACCATTTTGCAGACCCCCACCATTTTACAAACTCTGGTGAGAGTGGAAAATTCCACCAGAGCCTGGGCTGTGAGAAACATCCTGTTGGAAAGGTCCCAGGCTTAACCCCTGATGGCAATAAATTCATCCTGTCAGACAGGCTCCAGGCTTAACCCCTGACCGCAGTAAATTTCTTCCTTTATCAGCAGCCAAACACACCGCCCCCACCCCATTTTCGGAACAATCCCCGACCTCTCCTGCCCGGGACTGGGGCTCTGATGCTAGCTGGTACCCCCTATCTGCAGGCCTTTCTCCTAATACACTGTGTTGTCCTTGAGCTGCCTTTCTCCCTTTCATACATTTGGTGTCAAAACTTGGGATGGGGTCTGGATCCCACAACAGAGAGGTACTTTTTTGCAACCTGGGAAGGAAGAGGCAGCGCCAGTTCGCCCCGGGCTAATTCCCAAATCCTGGTTGGCCTCCCTTTCCCAGCCCTGTCCAGTTTCCTCTTTCTTCGGTGGAATCCTTTCTCTTGGCCCCATCCTCCCACCACTTTCTCCTTCCTCTTCTTTCCTCTCAGTGGCTCTGGCAAGGACCACTCCCATTGCTGGACTTCGCATCCAACACCAGCCTCCAATTTGTGGGTGAGTTTCCCTTTCCACCCTCTGATTCCTCTCATATTTCTGCTTGTTGGTCAGAAAACCCCAGCACCAGTTAAGAGGATTCCCCAGTCACCACTGGGTGACCCTGACCTGCCTTCTCAGGGGATGCACTCTGAACGCCCACGCACTGGCCACTCCAGTTTCTAGGGGACCTCGAAGAGCTGTGGTGACGCCCCGGCTCTTCTCCATCCCTTCTCATGGTTGAAATGGGGATACTCACTCCCCTCCTCCACATTTTTCACCTTCCCAGCCACTCATATGGGGCAGGACTCCTTGGAATACCCTCAAGACACCCCTCTCAGATGTCTCATCTGGAACCTCTGAGCACCAGGCTTGACGGACTCCATTAAAACCAAATGCCTTATTTTCCTTTGTAATGTGGCCTGGACCCAGTATAAGTTAGACAATGATGGCCACTGGCCTGAATGGAAGTTTTGACTTCCAAATTCAACGTGATTTCAAAATTTTCCTCCAGCACAATGGCTAGTGGTCTGAGATGCCCTATATCCAGGATTTTGCCAATTCCCTCTGTCAGTCCTGTTCACCTTACCGGATCCTCCCCTTAAATAAGAAACCTGACAAAATTCCTCCCCTTCCAGACAAGCCCTCCTCCTCCTCCGATTTTGATCCAACTGACAAATCCCCACCACCCCTCAGCCCCACTCCCACCACCGTCTCCTCCTCCTGCCCCTTCGGCTCCCCCAACCCCTTATCCCTGTCCCCCATCTCCTCTTCCCTCTCCCCACCATACCTGATCTCATGCCCAGCCCCGTTCTGCTGCTGAAAACCAAGCACAGGCCCAGAGGCCCTTTAAAGTCCTCCCCTTGGGGGAAGTTGTGAGGACTATCTTCAATAGTCTGAGTTATGTTCCCTTCTCTGTAGCTGACCTCTCTCAGCTTGAAAAGAGACTTGGCTCCTTGTCCACAAGGAATTTCTGTATATCACTCAATCCTATGATCTTATCTGGCATGACATTTATGTCATCCTCTCCTCCTCCCTCACCCTGGAGAAAAGGGAACGTATCTGGTTAAGGCCCATGCAGACACCCTCCATTGATAAGAAGCTGCCCATAACCCAATTAGAACCCTAGCTGTTCCCAGAACTGACCCCAATTGCGATTATCACGCAACTTCTGCAGACACAGAAACTAGGCCATGTGATAACAAGCCTCCTAGCTGGCATGAAAAAGCCACCCTTACGGCTATCAAGTATGAAAAGATAAAGAAATCAATCAAGGCCCCCGACAAAAACCCTGTTCTTTTTTTCTCCCACCTTTCAGAGGTCATGATTAAAGATGCCACCTTAAGTCCTGACACTGACGAGGACAGAATCTACCTCCACTTACACTTTATTTCCCAGTCAGCCCTCGACATAAAAAGAAACTCCAAAGACTGGAAGATGGCCCTCAAACTTCCCAAAGAGACTTAAAGTAGCCATCAAGGTCTTTAACAATAGAGAGGAAGTGCTAAAAACCCAAAAGCTTAAAAGAGATCAGGCTAAATACCAGAGGTTTGCAGCTGCCATACAACAAGATTTCTCAATGTACACAAAAATCCTCAACTCAACCTCATGGAAGTCGTCATGAAGAGCATATTTTAAGTGTAGCCAACAGGGTCACTGGGCAAGAGCCTGCCCCAATCTCGGGCCACCCTCAAAACCTTGCCCCATCTGTGGTATCAAGGGACACTGGAAGTTGGATTGCGCTCAACAAGACTCTTCACCCCACTTGACCAACTCTAACTCAAACAGGTCCTCCAACCCAGGTTCCAGTCTGTCAAGTGTTCTAGACCTGGCTGCTGAAGACTGACGGGGCCCAGGGCCTGCCAACCCCAACGCCATCACCACTTCGGAACCTAGGGTAACGCTGTCAGTCTCTGGTAAGCCTGTGTCCTTCCTTTTAGATCTGGGAATGAGTTACTCAGTTTTACCAGAATATTCTTCAGCCCTCCTCAGTTCTATCTATTGTGAGAGTCAATGGAATCCCCTCCAGGCACAGACTGGTCCCCTGTTATGCAACCTATTCAATACGCCCTTCATCGACTCCTTCCTAGTTATCCCTTAGTGCCCTACCATTATCTTGGGGTGGATCATACTGAGTAAATTCCAGGCCTCCATACAACTAGCCTCCCCCAATTCTACCCCTTTTATTTTACTCTGCTGCCCAGATGTGTCCCTCTCTTCTTCCTCATCTTCGCTATCCTCCCTGTTACCTTCTATCAATTCGAAAGTGTGGAACGTCTCTAAAACCACAATAGCCACACATCATATCCCAGTCCAAATAACCTTCCAAGACTCCTCCATTTTCCCTTATCAGCTTCAATATCCCCTTAGCCCAACTGGCCTCAGGGGCCTCAAACTTATTACGTGTAAACTTTTACAAGCTCAGATTCTCAAGGCTGTTAACTCTCCCCTAAACACTCTTATCCTGGTTGTCAAAAAAAACAGACAGATTTTACCACTTGGTCCAGGATATCCATGTCATTAACCAAGCGGAGATACCAGCCTATCCAGTGGTCCCCAACCCCTATATTCTACTGTCCCATATTCCCCCATCTACCACACACTTCTCTGTATTGGATCTCACATTCACCCACCTAACAGATTGCATTCCCACAGGGGTTACAGCATAACCCCCACCTGTTTGGACAGGCTCTTACCAAGGATCTAACCAAGCTTTCCCTTGTTCCAGCACCCTCCTTCAATACATCAATGACCTCCTCTGTAGTCTCTCTTGATCTATCCATCCAACACATCACCTAACTTTTAAATTTCCTCCATGGCCATGGATATCAGGTTTCACCTACAAAGGCTCAAGTAGCTCAAACCCAAGTCACTTACGTTCAACTCACCTTAACTCCTAATTCTTGAGCCATGCTAGCCCGATGTGAGGAACTAATATGGTATGTGCCCCTTCCCTACACCAAGAAGGACCTTTCTTTTTTGGGCCTTGTGGGATACTTCCAGCTGTGGATTATTACGAACTATTGGCCAAATCACTCTGCATGGCATCATGTGGGTCCACCCTAGAACGTTTGGATCAAGCTTGCCCATAACTCCAACTTCCAAAAACTAGAAGATGCCCTTTTAATGGCCCAGCACTAGGACTACCCAACCCCAGTAAACCCTTTACCCTGCATGTTCATTCTAATCAAGGTCTTGCCCTTGGACTTCTCTGCCAAACCCATGGCAACATTGCACAAGCTATTGCATACTTCTCAAAACAACTGGACTCAGTCGTCCAAAGCTGGCCTCCATGCTTGACAGTTCTAGGTGCAGCTACATTGCTGGCCCCAGAGACACGAAAACTCACTCTCTATCAGCACATTACTACTGCATTTTCCCATAACTTATGGCATCTCATGAGCCATTGATCTCTTCTTTTCCTCCCACCATTCTGCTTACAGCAACCCTTTAACACCTTCCAGAGATGTAAAATTCTAAACCCAGCCACCCTCCTCCCTATAAGTACTGCAATTCTGAATCCCCTCACTCTTGGCTGGACCTACATAGACTCCCTCCTCCCCTTTCCAACACATTTTCAGAAGCCCCTTTGCAGGGGGAACCCACATGGTTCATTGATGGAAGCTCCTTTAAGGAACCATGTCTGGCAGCTGGCTATGCCATCATTGCCAAAAAATACAAACTCCTAGAATCCAGTGCTCTCTCACCCCATATCATGTCACAACAACCGGAACTAGTTGTTCTAACCAGGGCCCTCACTGTAGCGAAGCAAAAGAGGGTTAACATTTATGCCAATTCCAAATGTGCATACCACATCCTACATTTTCACACTGTACTCTAGCAGGAAAGGAGTTTTCTAACTTCAAAAAGAACCCCCATAATAAATGGAAAACTCATACACAATCTGCTGGAGCCAGCTAAACTACTACTAGAGGCCGCCATTATCCATTGCAAGAGACACCAAAAGGCTACAGATGTCATAACCAAGGGAAACTTCTTAGCAGATTTGGCACCCTGGCAGGCAGCCCTTAGATCACCATTGTTATTACCCATTTTCCCCAGCATACACCCAAGAAGAAAAAAGTGCACTTGCTGGCTCCAGGGCTGTTCATAAGGAAGGCTAATTTTACTTAGACTACAAACTCATCCTACCCAAGACACAATAACTTTCTGTTCTCACCCACATCCATAACCAATTCCACGTGTGTTATCTCCCCCTGCTCCAGTTTCTAAAAACCTGTATACATTCCCTTACTATGGCCATCGGCTTGGATAGCTCACTAAAGGTTGCTCTGCCTGCAGTCAGACTTCCCCTCAAGGAGCTCTTAAACTACCTCCTTTTCCCTCCCATCAGGCCCAAAGGCCAGTTGCCAGGACAGGATTGGCAAATTGACTTCACTCATATGCCCCACCATAAAGAAAGTCTGATATCTCCTCATGATGGTAGATACCTTTTCAGGTGGATAGAAGCCTTTCTTACTACCACTGAAAAGGCACACACTGTTGTCTCTACCTTCCTCACACACATCATCACTTGATTTGGCCACCCCTCATCTATATATTTGAACAATTGACCAGTGTTTATCTCCCAAGTCACTCAACAGGTTTCTAAGGCTTTAAACATCATATGGGCTTTTCACATTCTCTATCACCCCCAATCCTAGGGTAAAGTGGAACAGGTGAATGCCCTCTTAAAACAACAGTTAACCAAACTTTCCCTAGAGATCAGAATAAAAACTGAATATCACTTCTTCCCTTGGCCCTCATGTGCCTCAGGGTTTTCCCCGGAAAATCTCTAAATGTAAGTCCTTTTGAACTTATGTATGGATGCCCTTTCATCTTACAGAACTTTGCCCCATCCCCTCCCTTACAGGACACTTGGCCAGCACTGCACCTCCCACAACACTTAGTTCGACAGTACAGTATGCTGACATTCACCTCCCCAAATCTGAAGACTCTTCCCAACTCACTTTCTTATCCTTACAGTCAAAAGACTGGGTCTGGGTAACAGAACCCGCATCCCCTCTCCAACAAAGTGGAAGGGTTCCTATCAGGTTATATTAACCATCCTCGCTGCTGCAAAGTTAACATACGTTCACTATTATGTACACCATTCCAAATGTAAAAAGGCACCTGACCAACACCCCAAAGTCTCCTCACGCCAGAAATATTCTTCCTTTCCTACAGGACCAACCTCGCTGTGCCTAACAAGAATTCCAGAAGTAACCCAACCGAAAGGCTCTGGCCCATGACACTCTCCGCTTCCAATCTTAAATCTTTTACTTCATACCTTATCTCAGATCTCTCCTGGTACCCCTTCCCCACTCCCTTAGATAATCCATCTCAATTCCTCATGCTAATCGAGGAGCTATGGCTGCAAGGCACCTTCCAAGATTTCACACCTACACAAATCTCCTTTTTCTCCTTTTGCCTTCTCTGTTTATGGGACATTCTGAGTCCCCACCCCCAATCACTGACAGCTGGGCCCCCTTCATCAACTTCACATACCACCTCTTAAGTCAGTTGCAATCTCCCCCTCTCCTCCAACTGTTGGATTTGTCTATACACAACCATTGATTCATGCCTCTTTCAGCCAAACTACTTACGTGGACACAGTCCGACATGAGTTTACACATTTCTTATTTGGCTATATCTTTCTTGGCTGATCCATGCCCGAAACTGGTTCATAACCTGGAAACGCAGCTAAAGACCTTTCCTTCAAACTCAACTGTCTCAGCATGCTTTTGAGCAGGGCTGCTGCCTCCTTCCCCTAATAGATTCTGGACTAACATCCACACAAACCAACACAACATCATCTAAACCACCAATATGGGGGTCCCATTTCTACTCGAACTTTTTTCATATCCCCACCCCTTTTAGGTCTCAGCTGAATCTACCCTAATCCAAACCATGTCACAATGGCAGGCCAGGTTCCCCAATCCCTATGTGGTCTTATTCTTACCCTCACATCCTCTGTAGACTGCCAATTCTAAACCCTAATTACAAAATCATGTCCCCCCTGCCTGGCAGTAACTGTTATGCTATTCTGGCTCACCTAGCATCCAAACATCCCTGAACCTCACCTCCAATCCTCTTTTCTTTCCTACCATCCAATTCCCAGCTCCCCCCGTGCAAACTCTGTTCTCTATGTCACTGGTTTAAAGCTGCCCCCTGGAAAAAATGTAACAGTTTTCTCACCTGCAACTGGTACCTTACAGCCACCACACCAGGGCAGCAATGGTTAATGGCTGACAAAGACAATTTCTTTCTCTCTCTCCAAAACCAAACAGCCTTCCCCAAGTCCCCAGCCAACACTCCCTATCAGGCCCTTACAGGTGCCATTCTGGCTGGCAGTTACTCAGTTTGGGAGAATGAAAACACCCTTTCATGGCTAGCTACCTTCACCTACAACTTCTGCCTGCCCACACCAGTCTCTTCTTTTTGTGTGATATAAACTGATATATTTGCCTACCAGCCCACTGGTCAGGAACTTGCACCCTGGTCTTTCAAGCTCCAGCCATCAACATCCTACCGCCTAACCAAACTATTCTAATTTCTTTAGAAGCTTCTATCTCCTCTTCACCGATACAAAATAAATGGTCTTTATACCTCTTCACCCTGCTAACAGAATTAGGCACCACTGCTGTACTCAGCACTGGAATAGCAGGCATAACCACCTCAATCACCCATTCCAAAGGTTATTCACAACCATTTATCACCCTAGAAGATATGCACACCTCCATTACCAGTCTCCAACAACAAACAGACTTCCTCACAGGAAGTCATCCTTCAAAACCAGAGAGCCCTAGACCTACTAATTGCTGAGAAAGAGGGTACCTGCATATACCTCCAGGAAGAATGCTGTTTCTGTGTTAATGAATTCACAATGCAGTTTGCAGGCTTCGTGACAGGGCTG